GACTCATACATCGCCAACTATATATTGTCATCCACGGTTGTACAAATAGATTAATCTTTCTATGTAATCTATAATTTTTTAATCACACATGTTATTTATTTTTATCTATTAAAAAGTAGTGAAAATTAAAATTTTTAATTTTTTTTTGGTGTTGGTTTTTTAGAAATAAAAATGCAAGAAAATGTGTTCAAGAATTACATATTCATGGCAAAAATTGAACCGTCTTCATTGATGAGGGTAGTTCCTTCAACCCATTTGGGGGCAAATCTCACACAAACAGTTCTTGACAAGTTAGAAAAGGATAACTATTTGTTCCCTTAGCAGAAGGCACAAAACAAGCTAGACGTGTCTGTCTGCTACTAACAAAAATTTGCTCAGTGCCTCTCAGTTGAAACTTGATAATGAAATTTGTATTAAATTTAAATCCAATTACTGCTTTTTTTTAAGGACAAGAGATAAGAGAGAGTGATGCTACATGGGATGCTTAGAGTGAAGCAATTCAACTTGGCAAATCTGAAATCTTCCTTTCTCTTTATCCATTTCACATGCTAAAATTGCCAACAACTCAATCAGAGCATGTATGGGATCAAGCACCTATATTATCAATTTATGGATAATCTTAATAGACGATTTCAGCAGATTTACATGGATTTATCCATCAAGACAAAAATTTGAAGCATTAAACGCCTTCATTCAGTTTAAACAACTGGTCGAAGACAAGTTTGATAAGAAAATCAAAACAATTCAATCAGACTGGGAGGAGAGTATGAGACCTTTATAAACACTATTGCTGAGCCTGGAAATGAATGTAGGCATTCGTGTCGCAACACTTTAGCTCAAAATGGACTAGCCAAGAGAAAGCACAACATGAAATTCTCTAATCCCCGAGTGCTTAGTGTTCGGAGAGTAAACTCATAGATGCACAATTTATTCCTTTTATGATTGTCTTTTAGAAATTCTTGATAAAATGACTCGTGACAAATTATTAGATTGTAAGACATTTTTTTTTAACCATCTTCTTAAAAACTTTACTTGACTATTTAAAATGAATGTGTATTTATCAATTGACAGAATTAAATGCGTGAATGTAAAGCGGAACAAAATTATAAAAGAGAGCTGAAATATTCATCAACCATTCATTAATCAGATATTCGAGTGAAAACTTTTCAGTTATTGGTTGAAATACCAAACAAAAAATAAAGGGAAACTTGCATATTTGGTCCTCAACCTTTCAAAAAAGTTGCTGATCTATCCCAACCTTTAAAAATGGCAACAAACATCCCAAAGCAGCAAAGCTTATTGACAGAATCCGTCCAATTTGGTCTTTAACTTCGAGTGAAATGACAAATTTGCCTTCTCTTATAAATCAAAGAAAAATGGGAATAATAATAATAAATTAAACCCCAAAAAAATAAAAAATTAGTACAAATACACACACACACACACACAAAGGACCTCCAAACAAGAAAAATAACCAAAAAGCCCCAAACAAATTCATCTTTTTCCTTTGGCCCTACCAACCCCCCGAGTCGATGTCGTTGTTGCTGCCACCACCAACATGTCACCATCACCACCACGAGGAACTACCATCAATTCTCCGTTAGTGACCATTGGTCAAAAACACCAAACTTTCTCCACAATTTAAGTAAACCAAATCATAAATAGCAATTACTTATAAGAAAATTTTCGACTTCCAATTTCGAAAACTAAAAACTGGAGCAAAAGTGAAATTAGTAATAATTAAGTGGTGAAAAAATGGAAACCTCGTCACCAGTGAAAAGTAATAGCAGCATCGCGATCGATAAATATCGTTTACTTATATCATCATTTTATTTAATTGGAGCTTAGGCTTGTGGAAAGTGTTAAGGGTGGGGCAATAGGGTTGATGCTTTTCCAATGAGTTTCGCTCGTCGAGGAAACCTGCAAAACCAAATTTGTTTGTTATCCCATCTCGATGGTGGCAAGTAAGCTCATCAAACTTCTTCTCCACTATGGCCTAGATGATGCTGCCATCATCTTGCTAATAAACTTCAACCCTTTAAGGTCATGAACGACGAAGTTTGTCTAATCAAATCTCCCCTACTGAGGCCACTGTATTAGTGGTGCCAAGCGCTTGAGCCCTTGAGACACCTACTTAATTATTGAATATGCACTTTTCATAATTATAAATAACAAGAGAAAAAGATAATTGCAAACAGGAGTGAGAGGAGAAGAGAGGTGGTGGTTGTTTGAAACTTCCTCTGCAATTTTTTTCTTTTGTTGATTTCTTTTTCTTTTTGTTTATTTTAAGAAGTTCGTCCCTATTTTATCAAACGTTGGGGATGTCTGGCGCCATGTTTTAAATATTTGGATAGATCTGCAACATTAGAAAAGGTTTGGGATTAAATATGCAACTTTCTAGGAAAAAAAAATACATAAAAGAAAACAGAAATAAGATTCAACGGTCAAAACGGTTCTAGCAAGTCCCGAACGCTACCTATCTCAATGTGTGGACCTAACAAGTAACATCCCCCCACGTATTACACTTTCATGCGGACAAGCTTTCTTGTTCGTCCAACGGTTTTTTCGTATTTTGGAACTATTCTTCAATGGCCCCTCTATCCCTCCGATGCCACAGGAGATCCCATCGAATCTTCCCCTCATCTCATTGCTTCCCTTAAAAGTTAATCTTAGATTTACATACCCAGAAAAGTATATTTCCTACTGGTAGTAGTGAATTTTACACAGCGAGAGGGAAAACAATGAGAGCTCTGAATTCCCATTTTGTTTTGATTGATTTGCACAGTTCATGGTGCTCAGCTAAGCAGATCCCCATTTCAACCTTTGGGTATCTGAGAGACTGCAAATTGACAGCTCCTACGTTCTCAGCAGCGTTTCGTCGAACACGTGGTAGACGTGGGGAGATATCGTCTTCTGGGGCCCCGGTGCCGGAGGTTCGGTCTCCTGAGATTCGACGGCCGAGAAATTGGTCAAATTCGAGAAATGGGCTGTCATCAGTTTCCTCGAATGTGGCTTCCACGTCGAGTTCGAGTTCGAAGGAGAATGAGGTGGTCACAGACCTGGAGTTGTTTCTTGAAATAATGCCTTTGAGAATGAGGCAAGAGCTGCTTAGGCATAAGGATATTGAGGAGCTAATTGAGGTAGTTATGGACTTGGGAAGGAAGCCACTTGCACGATTTCCATATGGTGATTGGGTGATCTCAAAGCAGCCCGTGAAGCTTGAGGATCTCCACGATGCAGTTTCAAAAGTTGTCTAATCAATGCCATTTGATATTTTACTAAAAGTTATAGATAAGTTATAACTACACTCACAATAATTCACTCAATCTAAGAAGTCACAACCTATTATCTAAGCTTTAAATAGCATTCATTTGGAAACTTCTTGTTTCTGTTTCAAGAACAAATATTTTATTGCTTGTTAATTGTTCATAATGATTTTTAATAGCGACCTTAATATTTTAAATGCTGTGAAGCCGATTTTTATGTGGATTAAAATTCTACTGATGAGAAAGAAATTACTTGAAAACTATAAAGAGTATATAAAAATCTGAATTTGTGAACACTTGCACTTGCCCTTGTATTGTTGTATGGAGGTGAGCTTAACAGGATTTTAGTTGAAGTTTATTGATTGCCTGCAGGTTGGGGAGTTCTCTGATGACAACCGCTCTGGTATTGATCACTCCCTGCATCGTATAAGTGCCATTCGAAATCGCAAAATGCAGATCATTGGCCTTACATGTCGGATGGGGCGTGCTGTATCTGGAAGTGCTGAAATCATACGAGATTTAGTTGAAGGAGGCGGCTCCATATTGGTTATAGGGCCTCCTGGAGTTGGTAAAACAACTTTAATCAGGTATACTCTATTTGATACTTCAAATACCTGTTAAAAATTGTCAGCTACTGCTAGTTTCTCAGATATCTTTGATGCTCAGATGCTAAATACTAAGTAGTTAGCTACTTCTTAATAAAGAAAAATTAGCTACCATTATATCTATTAGCACCTGACTTGAAAGAAATTTAATATTTAGCAGGTTTGATAACATTTATCCAATTGGAAAAGCAATATTTCTTGCGATTGTGATGGCATAACTTTGCTTGTGCAGAGAGATTGCCAGAATGCTGGCTGATGACCAGAAGAAACGTGTAGTTATTGTTGATACGTCAAATGAAATAGGAGGTGACGGGGATGTACCTCATTCTGGTATAGGTCGCTCTAGAAGGATGCAAGTTCCAAATGTTCATATGCAGCATAATGTGAGTGGTATACACAATGCTCATTGTTCTGTTTTGTTTTATTTGTAGATGCTCCAATTTTAGTTGGTGAATAATTTACTATTTTTGGATCCTAAATAGGTAATGATTGAAGCAGTTGAGAATCACATGCCTCAAACCATTATAATTGATGAAATTGGAACAGAGCCAGAAGCAATGGCTGCTAGTACAATTGCTCAGAGAGGAGTGCAGCTTGTTGCTACAGCACATGGCATAACTATAGAGAACATCATGAAAAATCCCTCTTTGCAGATCCTTGTTGGTGGCATAGAGGTGCAAATGTACCCCCCTAGCATTTCATTTTCATCTGTTTGTGTGTTTCACAATACGTTCGGCATTCAGTGGACTAGTTCTTTTGGCTCATTGGTATCATGTTGAAAAACTGTAATAAGCTTAGCCATTTACACTTCTTGTCATGTGGTTCAAATTAGTAATTTTGAACTTTATCCGGTCAGAATTATCAACATTTAAAAAACTTGTTAAGCCTGTTTGGCAGGGAGGAGGGACGGTACTAGATAGTAATATTGAAGAAAAAGAAGCAAAAATCTTGTTAATTATACTTTCGTGGTCCTCCATTAGTGCATTCCAAACATGCACTTAGTTCATTTTACAACAGATTGACGCTTCAACTATTGGTTTGTTTGAAAACAGAGTGTCACTCTTGGTGATGAGGAAGCAAGAAAAAGGAAAGTGCAGAAAACAATTCTTGAGCGGAAAGGACCTCCTACATTTACATGTGCTGTTGAGATGATATCAAGAACTGAATGTCGAGTCCATCATAGACTGGATTCAACTGTGGATGCCATACTAGCAGGTATATTGGAAGTCTTGTTTTTCAACAGTAATTTTTGAAAAATTAATGCATTATTCTGGCACTGAACTTGACTGTGAGCTGTATGGACACTAGGGAAATCACCACTATTTGAAGTCCGCCAATTAGATCCGGAAGCTAATAGTTCGTTGAAATCTACTCAAACTACTGAAAAAGAACTCGTTGATGACCCAAAAGTGACAAATAATGAAAATAGAGAAACTATAATAGAGTCTGGTACGGAAGATGAGGAGTGCTGTTCTAAGCCCAAGAAAGTGGGCACAAACGGGTCTCTAAGCACTAGGAGCGACCCATCGTATGTTTACACTTACAAGGTAACTTCTTAGTCTTCCATTCTCATTCTTGTCTTTTCCGTCGATTTTCAACTTCATATTTACTCTAGGGTCAGATGAGAATAAAATACTTCTGATATATTATACCATTTTCTGGGGTGACATATTGATTGTACAAAATAAATGAAGTAGCACACATATTGCAAACACTGCCTTATTATTTATACAGGATTTATATCCTAGCATTGCGAGTTAATTATATAAGGATGCAAGATCAAATTTATCCTTTTTTATTTTTGCTCTATTTTAGATCCAAGAAGCTGATTTGTTACAAGTAGCAGCTGTAATGGGGCTTGAGGATGAAATAGATGTAACCGATGATATTGGTTCTGCAAATGCTATTCTAACATCTAGTTCCGAAATGAAACAAAATCCTTGGATCCGCAGTGTGGCAAAGTTTCACCATTTGCCTGTATTTGTTATTAAGGTATCAAAATATTTATTCTTGCCCAAATAAAATTTAAGATTTATTACATGATTTTTTAATCTGCTGTTCTAGTGTTGACACTGCAGTCAAATACACTGGCAAATATGGTGAAGGCAATTCGTGTGATTCTTGGAATGGACTCATTTGGCTCTTTACAAAAGCAATCAAACAAAAGTTTTTTCAATATTGAGATTGAAGATGATGCAACAAAAAGAGAACCATCTCTGGAGGAGATTGATGCCTTGGAGGTGCATTCCTTCCCCATGCTTATTTTTTTCTCCTCAAATAATTTTAATGTTTGGAAGTTGAAATTGTTATGTGGTAGTTTGGGCATGTATGGATCATATAGCAATTTGCAGAAATTAATAATCTTGGAGTTACCAGAGTCTAAATGGTATCATCCCTGTGAAGGTTATGCAAATATATTGCAAATTGTAGAAATTATAATCTTGGAAGTAAATTTGATAGTGGCGTCATCTCTAGTGGTGTTCGCCTCAATTGGTAATCAAATTCTTGCTTATGGAAAAGTTATTCCCCAATGAGGTGAACTGTAAGTGAATAACATAGAAGATGATTGATTATTATGTTGGATCTCGCGATTTGATCGTGTGTGTGTGTGTGTGTGTATGTGTGTATGTATGTATGTATGTATGTAGTTTCTACTTGCTTGCACTCCCTTAAAGAAGCAAATATGGTTGGGTAAGATGAATTTGAATGTGCATCAAGGATAGAAGGGCTTGTCTCATTAATTTACCGTACAATTATATATTAATTTTACAAAGATGGGGCTTTTGGCATAATGATGTTACCTAGGTAGTGTATTTTCCCAACATCCTAGTTTTGACCATGGACTTTGGATAGTTGTTAAATAGATTGTTCTATAAATGCACGAATGGGGAAAAAACAACTAAAAGATTGAGGGGATCCCTATGGTGATAGTCTGAACTTCTCTAGTGTTTTGTGCTCTTCTCAGTTTTCAAGTTATTTTGGATTTAGTATACTCTCTAAAGATCTTGTTAAAAAGAAATGTGGGTTCAAGAGAAAGCAAAGGGAAAGTTGAGAGAGAAAAGAAAGCAACGATTTGTGGACAAATGGAATGATCAATCCGTCTTTTGGGGTGGGTACCTTTTTCCTGTACCTTGCTCAAAAGACTGCAAATTATCGGCAGCTTCCTCTTAATGTTTTAATTATTTCGTTGAGATTAATGAGAATACCTGATTACACATGAAAACTGATTAAAGTTGATGATAAATGTTAGGTATACACTCAAATTGATGATATATGAATTGAAGATCACAGCCTTTTATAGCAAATGTTTTGCCCGCGGGAGGTGAATTTTGCAAAAGTGCTTATTTGGTTGGGAAAAATAGGGCTTCTAACTCCAAGCCTACCTCCCGGAAAAGGATACACTTCACCCCTATCTCTTTCAAAAGCCTCTCCCCAATAGTGCCTTTGCTGCCCTATGTATGACACAGTTACGGTTCCGATCCTGTCTTCCTTCTGTAGGCTGAACTCTATTCTCTTCACGCTCCAAGTTATTTGGGGTGGGATGGTTTCATTTTTCTTCGCCAATGGCAACTTAAAATTTACATCATAATCTCATCAGTTATGGACTTATGGTTTTATTTATAAACCTTTAAAATTTGTTTTCCTTGGTATATCTCTTGCTATCATGGCCAGCTTTATTATATGCTGCTATTCTTCTTAATATTTTGTGGATTTCATGCATCCATTTTTGGAATAAGATGGTTGTTGTTATACTTATATTGATGGTCCGTGAGGTGTAGTACCGGAATTCAACTTCTTATTTTCAGAGTAGTTTTCTGATTCCAATTACTCGATTGCATGTATGGGTTTCATTATAATCTCCTCATAATTTGAAATCAAAATCAAATATTAATTCAACCACGCATTCACTACTAATATCCACTTATTATCAACACATTTTATGGGTCCATTAATCCTCATTGTAATGAAACCCAAACAAGCAGTACGTCACAATAAGAGTTACTAATTGACCAAACAGTTTAGCACATTCTAGCATCCGATATAATTTTATTTATCTTACTCCGTCACAATTATTTTGATATTTTGTCTCATCAAGCATTTACTTTCTGATTAGCTCCTATTTGTTAGAATTTTAAGGTTTTTAGCCATCTTTACAGGATATTTAGGGTGGGTCCCATGCTTTTAAGAAGTTTTTAGGTGTCTTATTGAGGAACAGGACTTGCTTATATATCCCCTATTTGAACCTCATTTTTTAATAATAGATTTTGTAAAAAATGATTTTTTTTTGAAAAATGTGTGGTTGAAAGTATGAAAAATCTTGAGTTTATGTTTAAAATATTTTATTGAGAGAATGTGTGATTTCGGAAAACACCCCTATGCTGCACACCGGGTTAACCAAGAGGGAGCCGGAAGGGTGTGAACCAAACCGTCAAATTGCGAAATCCGTAGTTGCACAATCCGACAATTCAAGTTATTTTCGAAAGATGTGTAGGCCCTGCCTCATTTGATTCCCGGCATTTCCAATCAAATTTGAAATACTGATTAATCTCTTTAAGTTTGTGAATTATTTATCACTTCGTTATTCTTTTCAGTGCTCGTTGCATCGATTTTTATAAAGGACTCTTGCCATGAATTTCTGATTGCAGCCTCTGAGTTACTGATCTAGATTCTTGTTGGCTCTTAATTAGGAAGTTCGACTTGCAATTGAATACATTGTGATACCGGGTGGTGAGGCTGTGGAACTTCTACCAAGGCGCTCCGAGATAGTAGCTCGACAACTTGAGTTGGTTGAGAGTTATCAGTTGGCTGCAGAGAATTCGGGGACTGAATCAAACCCCCGTCTGCAAATCCTTCCTAAAAAATTAAGCAAAAGAACAACAACAAAACATTCCAAATCTAGTTCAAATTTCCTTGACAATAGGGGTACAGGTGTTTTTCGACTACCAGTTCTGCCTGAATAATTCAACATCTCAAGTTGAAAGATGTTCAGCTCGCCATTGATCGATAACATGAAATTCTTGCACATTTGTGTATCTTCTTTTTTCATAATTCTTGTAATTGTTTAGTGTTCTGAAGTCTTTCACTTCACGTACCAAAATGTTGTACATTGTCCGGTAAATATAAATTTTATTTGATTGTATAGTGGTGTCACATTTTTGTGCATTTTAGGGATGGGCTTGGTTCAATACTTTGAAGAGGAAAGTACATCCAAGCCTGTTTTTGAAGTTTACATTACATCAATCAAATTTTAAGTTTAACATTTCATAAATCAGGTTATTGTCATTTATTTAATATTACTAATTAAATTAATTACCGCTCGTTCTCTCTCTCTCTCTCTCCAACGATACTCCCTATAGTTATCACCATCCACACAAATGACTGAGGAATTCAAGTGTAGATGGCTAAGGAGCGACTCTACAACAATGTCATTTTCATCTCTGGAACCGCCTCCACCGCCTTCCTATTCGGCTGCACACAGTTCTATCTATTTATAGGCAGATCCAAACTTTACATTGTTGATATGGGCTTGATTGGAGGCTGCAAAGTGAAGAAAAATTTGGGCGGTATGTTATGGAGGCGGTGACGTGAAGAAATCGACTCATGATTGTTGGGAAGATGGTGGTCCGACGTTGCAGTGTGATTTGTTGTGGATCTATGGTGAATGTGGTAGTCGTGGTTTTGATTTTGAACTTGATGTGGATGTTGTGGTGGAGGTGTTGGTTGTGGTGTTGTCGAGGTTGTGGATTGGTGGAGGCTTTATTGAATCAACCCAAGTGGTGTACGCGATGCCGTCGCGATGGTGGTGATGTAGTGGCTTTTGGTGGTGGGTGTTAGTTTGTTTGAGATGGCGACGGTGTTGTTGCTGATTGTTGTAAGGTGGTGGTGATTCTGGCGGCTATAATGTCGGCAACAATGATACTGGAGGCAATGGTGATGAGGTGGTTAATGTAGGATTGTGACTAATAATTTAGTTAATGTAGGATCAATAAATAATATGTGACCAATGAAATAGATAAATTGTGGCCAGTAAATAATGTATGACATAAAAATTTATTAATTTGTAATCAATAATTTGATAATTTGTGATCGTGAAATAAGTTGTGATTTATAAAATTTGTGATTTATGATTGATATATAAATTGCGACCTATAAATTTTTTGATTTATGACCTTAAAATAATTTGTAATTTAAAAAAATTTAATTTGTGATCGAGAAATAATTTGTGATAAATAAATTTGATAATTTGCGATCAAACTATATAGAATTGTGACATTAATATATTTAATTAATAAAATATATTTTTAATTAATTATTTCACTTAATTAACATTTGATTTTTGAAGTTTTAAACTTGGTTTCTTGATTTTTAAATGTGTCATACTTAGTCCCTGTTTAGTTTGGACTTTGGATTAAAATTCAATTAAAGTTAACAATTAATTTTAACTACATATGTTATGGTACCCACAACTTTTCAATCATACATTTTATCAACTTTTATTAAAATTTACTAAAAATCTGGACCCTAATTGAGCCAAATTTTTATAGAATGAGAATGAAAAATATAGTCATTATTGGGGCCCATACAAGAGATAGAAAATTTGAATTTAAATGTTGATGTGATAAATAACGGCCATATTTTTCAATTTAATAAGAATATAATGTGGATCAAACGGGGGCCTGATTTGAATTTATATCAAATAGGGACTTAATCTCTTAAATATGAATTTTTCCCATCTTTGAATTGGGCAAAATGCTCGAGCTTCGATTTTATTAATTGACTTTTATTAAAGATCAAGGAGGGGTGTTATTAACTCGAAGTTTAATGGATTTATTAATATTCATGAATTCTCGTGGATTTAATGAATTTAAATAGGATTTCACATAAGGCATAAGATTTTAAAAGAGTTATATTTTATAGATTTTCATGGATTAGTTGGATTCCAGTGGCTTTCTTATTGTTGAAGATATGGAAAGAATAATCTCTATAATATTTTNAACAAGAAGAGGAAGAATGCTGAAAGTACCAAATAGATGACCAAGAAAATAGAGAACCAAGTGTTTCATTTTTCTCTAAAATTTGAGATTCTCCCCCCAATTCAAGTCATTCTCATTTCTAAAGTTCAATAATCACACTACGCACTCCTACTTGTTAGAAATTAAACTCAAGCAGCCTTTTTTTTCCTTTAGCTCAGTCACGTTGATGTTGAATAAAGTCTTACAGGCATTAGGAATCTGTTTTTCAGTTTCATTGTTATGCCAATAAAGTAAGGCTTTTGTGGGTCAACGAGCTACTTTTTTTGGGTTGATTTTGATTCAGTTTGTTAAGCTTGTAAGTGGCTATAAATAGCTCATGATTCTACTATTTTTCATCATCAGTTCATCAATAAGAAATCTTCTTCATCTCTCTGTTTTTTCTGCTCTATTTTTTTTTCTAAAGATCCTGTATTGGGAAATTATTCTGAATTTAATTTCCTGCTTCTTGTATCAGAATTTTAAATATCCCGAGCTTCTTTTGTTGTTCTAATTGCTTGAAAGCATCTTACAACAATGAACGGGGTCAATCCAACCTCAACTTTCGAGGTTAAGTGGGAAAATTTTTGATCCAGATGAAGGCTTTTCTTTGGCTTTCAGGAGCTGTATGAGATTATTGAACATGGATATACAGAACCAGCAGATGAAGCTGCTGTAGCAGCTCTTACTCAAGGCCAAAAGGACAGCTTGAGGGAGAATAGGAAGAAGGATAAGAAGGCTTTGTTTCTCCTTTGCCAATCTATAGATGAGGTTGTCTTCGAGAAGATCTCCCGTGAAACTACAGCTAAAGAGGCATGGGAGATGCTGCAAAATTCCAACGAAGGTGATGAAAATGTGAAGAGTGTAATGTTGCAAACCTTAAGAGGTGAATTCAAATCTCTTTCAATGAAAAATTCTGAAATCATCTCTATATTTCACAAGTTCAGTTTGTGGTTAGTCAATTGAAGGTTAGTGGTGAAAAATTAGATGAATTGCAAGGTCCTTAACTAGTCGTTTTGATTATGTGGTTACTGCAATTGAAGAATGAAGGGACTTTTCAACCATGATCGTTGAAGGGCTGCAGAGTTCATTGGGTTCTCATGAACATAGAATGAATAATCGAGAAATAAATGTTGTGGAACAAGCTTTTCGAAGCAAGGTTAATTTGACTAGCTCAAGCAATTCCGATGGTAGTCCCAGTGGTGGAAAAGGACTCAAAAGTACTACATATTCTGAGAAAAGTAATTATGTCCAGCACACTTCTGGAAATAAAAGGTATGTTGACAAATCCAAAATTCAATGCTATCATTGTAAGACATATGACCATTATCGATTAGTTTGTAAAAGTTATATTGCATAAAAGAACTTTGAAGCATGCTCATTATGCTGATGAGGTACATGAGAAAGAAAACTTGTTATTAGTTGCAGTACTTCTTCGGAAAAAACCTAGGAGAATGGTATTTGGATACAAGGTGTAGTAATCACGTGTGGGAAGAAGAAATTATTCTCTCACTTGGATGAAATGGTAACTTGAGAAGTAAACTTTGAAAACAAAACGGAGGTATCAATTATGGTTGTTGAAGATATGGAAAAAATAATTTCTATGATATTTTTCAATAGTGTATAATTATTTTTCTTAATGGTTGATTATATAATTATTAAGCAATATTTCATTTTAGAGTTATTTATAATCCTATAAATATGATCTTTTACTTTGTAATAGAAACAAGTTTATTGTATACAATTTATAATATTCTTCACACTTACAATTATGAAAAACGATATAATTTATCAAAAAATAAAATTCCAACTTTATATTAGAAAATAAAATTCTTTTGTTACATAAAATTAAAATTTTGTCATTTAGAATATTGAATTTCATTAATTTACAAAATAAGCAAATAAATATCAATAAATTAAAAATTATTTTCATTTGAAAAGAAAATTATTTTCAAGAATTAATGTTTCAAAATTAAAGTCATGTTTAATTAGAAAAAATGAAAATGCAATGTCATTTGCTATTTGTTGTAAATTAAATACTATTTTTGAATGACAATAACAATGACAAAATAAAAAATACATAATTTTCATCAAAGTTGTTTCTTTTTTTTTTGAAAAATCTTATTCATGCATAAGGCATCGGCCGTCAATCCAGCAAGGAGGAAAAATGACCATTTTAGAATAAGTAGTTTAAATCATTTTAATGAACGGAGTGTTATATCTCCACAAAATATTTATTTGAAAATCATCTCTATATTACACATAGTGGCAGAAAGAGTATCGTATTGCATACAGACTTCGAACAATTTGATTTAACCATCTTAGTAGTACAACACAACTGGTTCTGAGAGAATTAAAGTAAACTTGCCAATTAATCACGAAATCCTCTGGCTCTTACTTCTTACTCATAATTTCTTACTTTCTTTGGAGGCAATTCGCGAAATNNNTTTCTTTGGAGGCAATTCGCGAAATCTTGGGCTTTCTTTCGTGGTTATAAATAGAGTTGGACATGGTTTCGGTTTGATTCTCTGTTCGATTTTGAAGATAACCGAACCGAATCAAATTTTTGGGGTATTTAATAAATGGAACCGTCAGGTCCAAATATAATTATGGAATCGTTCGGGTTTGATTCTGTTCTGTACCATAATTAAATTTTTTAACAGATTTCAAATTATCAACGATCGGTGGTCGTGGTTGGAGGTCGTGTCTTCGATGGGCAGTTAGAGATGGGAAGTCGGACTCGGCAGTCGACGACTTTGATTTAGGTTTCTAGATGTAGGTTTTCAATTTATTAAATGATTGAGATCAGTGATTCAGTGGTTACCAAATGAAAGTGTGAAATTGGAAAGAGAATGATAAAAACTTAAAAAGACTTAGATCTTGGGCTAAGAATGAAATTAATAATTGGACCAAAAAATTGAATTTAAAAATTGAGTTGAGTTGGGTTCGAT